CCCCCCCCAAGTCAGTGAATCTGTGATTCTGGGGGAGTTTTTGTAACCAGAGCCTGTAGAGGCAAGGTATATTTCATGTCTTTGCAGGCCCTCACCTTCTGCACCTGAACTGCCAGAGTAGGAAACAGCCCTGACACAAGGTCTAACAGAAGGAGCCAAAATGTGAAGAGGGTAAACAAACCCAGTGAACAGCCCAGCTTCTGCAGCCCCAGAATACAAAAGCACTCACACTCCTTTAGAAATATATTTTATTATTTTAATGCTCATTTAAAAAAACATAACCAAGACATTACACTCAGCAGCACCACCAGCAGTGGACCCCTTAGTGCCCAGCTGTCTGATGACTTATCACATTCTAAACCATTGGTCAATGCACTTAAAATATAATTGCATGCACAGAATCCACCCCCTCTTCTGCCACACCACTCCAACACCTAAGTGACAGATGATGACAGAGGGAAAGGTGAAGCAGCCAATGTATCATTTATAAAACATTTAAATTAAAAAGGTAAGAAATACCATGTAGGCAGGAGGGTATTTGGGTCCTTTTGCCCCACGGGACATCTTGTAATACAAGATGGGGATGATGGCTTTGAAGAACAGAGGAAAGGGAGGAAAATCTGTGAGTGGAAAGGAGGTTAATTATGGGTTGAACTAATCTACCTTCCAAAATAAGGCTGAGAGGTCCAAGGAACAGACTCTCACCTGATTCCCACATTCTAGATATTTGGGTCCAGATTGTCTTCTCACACTGATTTCCCACTGATGAAATTTCATTTGTTACTCCTGATTCATGCTGGCGTAAGGAAGATAAAAAAATCAGGCTTTTGACCTCTTCCGCTCAGCATTGGTGTGAGGTGTCAGGGCAGATTCCCGTGCCTATGGTAACTATGGAGAGGACTGATCTTTAGGCAGCATCCCTATCAACGAATACTGTAGTATTTTACAGCTCTGGCATGACACCCTGCTTAGAAGCATGGCTGCTGTGTGACTAGCCATCCTTGTAGATGGAGGACCCCCTCCAAAATCCATTTTTCCTCAGCCACATAACCACCAAATGGGAACCATCAGCTTGGGAAAAGTCAGCATAAATATGGGAAACATGGGTTATTCAGAATAGCCGTGCCACTTGTGTGCCTTCCTAAAGCCCCAAGCGCTCCCTTCCCAAATTTTCCAGCATATTTCTGCCCCTTGAATATCCCACAGTCCTCTTTCACACTTCTCCCCCCAACCCCAAAGCTATCCAAAATCCTCCCTATTTTTTCCAAACTCCCCAGCACAAGTGTTCTCTTACTGACCAGCACAAATTACATTCATTTGTAAAAACCTCATTGTCTGAAATAGCCTTTCCTATTTCTTTCCACCAATTTTCAAATGTCATCTACCATTCAGCCATCTTAGTCTTGTTGATACATAGCTTTCTGCTATTTAACTCTGAACCTGCACAGGATTTCGGAACCAGTCCGTCTGAACCATGCCATACAGAATAAAGTTGTGATGTGTTGCACAGACATAGTCAGATAGCATGCCATCAAACAAAGGGTCCTAAGAATGGCTCTTAATAAAGTGAATCCTGGCAACCAGCCAAAACCTCTTCTAAAACAGTGCAAGGCAAATAAACCCCGGAATTTACTAGTCTGCTGGGAATGCTGAAATTCATGGAATTTCCTCACACAGAGTCAGACAGTAGATAGCTTTCTCTGAAGGGATAGGGCCATTTTTAAAAGAATAGTTTCACTGAACTGGAACAGACTCCCTCTAACTACTACCTCCTGCCCATTGGACCAGTTCCTCGCAGCTTGGCTTCCATAAGAGTTATTCTCCTCCTGCTCCTAATATCCACCGCCCTGCCAGCCCCCTTATGCAGGCTCCTTCTCTTCTTCAGAACAGCTGTATTTCATCAGCTAGCCATTCTCCACTGCAAAGGAAGGGAGGAGGACATGAGGCAGTAAGGGGGAAAACTACATCGCCTTTCACCTTTTCACGGACCACTGATCCTTGTAGTTGAGAGGAGAGTATAACAGTAGATAGCTGAAAAAGTCAGAGAGGATAGGCAGTAGGAAAACAAGTGCTTTGCACAGAGCTCCCTGTTTCTCTTCAGACCCTCTGCCAATCACAATCAGACAATGAGTCTCACACCATGTGACAAGGTTTGCTACAGCCCCAGCTCTGGGAGCCACGTTCTCACATTCAAATCCATACTCCTGGTTCACAAAGATGGAGTCAAACCTGAAAGCGGGAATCCTAAAAAAAGCTCAAAAAGAGGAAGGCGAATAAACAGAACCTGAATGCTCTGCTATTTAAAATCTCGTGGTGTTTGGGAGGTGGACTGATGGTTTTTCAATGCTGGGGGTTGGTAGTACCTTGACAGGGAGTTCAATACTGCATCTGTGTCATCTGCTGTCAGTGTCACTATGCAATAACAATGCTAGCTGCTAACGCTATAGATTCTTTGTAGACCATCTCTGTGCTGGTTGTAAGCAAGCTACATATTGGCTGTGAGGAAGCTTGGGGAGTAGTGGAAGGCATACAATCTAAGTTGGCTCTTGTAAAGTTTGATGTAATATAGCATCAGACAGATCCCATGTGTGACAGCCACCAGAACATGTCAGCACATACTTGCTGCACTTCTGTGTGTTCCAGCACATGAGCAATGCTGGTATTTTCCCATACTTCTTTCCCCACTCAGGTTCTGTGTGGACCTAATTGTTAAGACATGAAGGCAGGATGTCATCTTATGTTATTCTTAGCACTATTTCAATACCTAACCAAGTTCTGGAAAGATCAGAACCTCTTTTCCCTTTATGTATGTCTCTGCTTCTGGAAGGTTACAGAAGGCTGGAGATGCATAATCCCCCACGTTTCACCAGGAAAGATCAAGAGTAATAAAATACCCAAAGCAAACGACAGCAGGACTAACAATGATGTAAGGGAACAGGGAAATGACCTAATGCGTGTTGCTAGTGCCTGCCTGATAGTCTAATCTCAGAGGAATGAGCTATTTGGAAGACTCATGCCAAAAAGGAACTGATTCAACTGGACTGTGATGTGTCTATTGTTATAATATTTGCCTTGTCATTTCACTGAGATCTTTGCTGGCAAAAGAAACTTTCTGCTTGTCTGACAGATATACTTGCTAAAAGCCATGTAGTGGCCTGGGAGCGCCACTGCGAACCTCTCTCCTGAAGTTGAAGACCATCCTCTGCACCCCTTTTCACTCAGAGAACACAACAGAAAGGAAATTCCCTTTATATAGCTTGTCAATAAGCCATGAATAAGAATAAGCACTGTGTTTCCTTTTCTAGATCACGAATTTCAGACTCCCTCCCCTCAAAAAAGAATCACTTGATCTGATGTCTATCCCTGTAGTTTCAATGAGGTTTGAAGTGGTCCTAGTATGCAACATATTCAGAACTGTGATTCTGTAGGTAGCCATGGCTTTACTACAGTATTATTAATCCCATTGTGACTGAATTGAGAGGCAGTATCTAAATGCTTCAGGGTCAAAGAATGAATCACGATAAGGAAGATTCCTAGTTTTCCTATGGGACAGAGGCACCTGCCTCTAGTCCCAGAAGACTCTGTGATATCAGATTTATTTCCAGATCAGTGTTTTAGCAATAGCCAGTCCTTCCTTTGCATTAAAAAAAAAATGCTGGTACTAGGGTTGCCAGATGGTTTCAAAACAAAACAAAACAAAACCTGGAGATCTGGGAGGTCGGGGCCGAAATGCGGTCACAGTGGCCCCTTTAATTGCCACATGTCCCAGCAGCAGGTTTCCGTCATACTAGTGCATATCATCACAAAGAAAGCACTGGAAATAGCTATTTTGGAGTAGTTTGGAATAGGTGTGGGAGGAGGGGGGTTGGTAACATGCATGTTTCATGCAGAGTATAAGCTAGTGGGGCTGGGATAAAGATTTTATTGACCCACATGTAGGATGATTAGCTTCACAAGCCACAAGTAATGAGGCCCTTTCACCAAATGTAAAAACCCTTCATAATACACCACATTACTATGCACCCTGTGACTGATGAGATCATGGTCTATCAGACAAGCAGGCCAAGCTAATGCACTGTCTGCACAACTCAGGGAGGCTGCACTGGTGGTGGTTTTCTAGTTTTCTGAAACACAAATGTTCTTCTCAAACCACACTCCCATGCCCCACTTCTACTGGTGTACACATACACACAGTCACGCGTTCACAGTACATACCCACACACTACAGAAAAGCAAGGCTTCACAATTAACCTGATTCTAGAAGTGGTTTGAAACAAGACAGGAAAAAAATGAACTTGGGTTCATTTGAATTCCAGACCTTAAAACAAACTTCAGTGTTAAAAGTTAACAGATGAGAAATGAAAGTTCACCAAAATGAGAAAATGTAGATAAAACACAATTAAGGCTATGAAGTGAATGGGCATTCTTTGTACACAGGCAGAGAGATATGAAGACAGAGGAAAGAACCAGCTACAAAGACATTGCAAACATGGACCTAGAACCAGCCTAGGTTCTATCATTCCTCCCATCACATCAGCTAGCTGTTCACAAAACCTGCCATCACCACCCGATCAGCCCTCCCTACAGTAGACCTGCCGCTACCCTGTTTTTGCCCACTCATGCAGACACCTACTGGTATTCCTTTGGCTAATAAAACTATCAAATCATCATATATAGTCTTTGTTCTTTCAGTGAAGTGGAAGGGTCAGAAATTTGGTTTATTTCATTTATTTCAGCATGCCAGGACATAGCTGGGATGCCATAGGCTCAGGGGTTGGGTAGAGCCACCTTCTCTTGTACACATTCATAAATGACAATGAAATAGCGACTTATGTATAAGTAGCTTCTCAGCACACCCTCTCTATGGAACACAGGGGAGGTAAGACCTTCTGTGGATATTCCAGCTCATTATAATGTAGTGTACTGTAGTGATCTAACAGTGAGTGGGAAAATCATGAAATTGGTGGCTCTGCTAAGCTTTGAAAACTGATTTTAAAACAGAATCTCACAGTCGAAGGCACTGAAAGTTCCCACCAGGTGAATCCCTTCACTCTCTAGGTAGTATAAGCATCATTCCTAGCCAGTAGGCATTGCTATACCTTCTACTTTTGTTAGAAGCCAGTGTTAAAAGCCCCATCCCCTCTTCCTCATGAAGAAGTAAATATTTTAGCCACATCTTTATTAATGTTGGTAAAAACACTATACTGATGAACAACCACGGACACAGGACAGCATAATGTCACAACACATCCTGCTTGACCAGAGAATCTCCCACTGCTAAAATTGTCAGATTTAGCCTTTGCTCGGTTTCTCTGAGTTGGACCTTTGACACCTCTAGTGACCCTCCGCTTCCTTTGTCCAAAATAGTGCCTCTCAGACTTTCTCCAGTCTAACTCTTAAGATCTTCCCACAAATCCAGAGCAGGAACTCCCTGCCCAGTAGTTACCCGGAGTCACTCCTCTCTTCCACTCATCCTCCCTTTCTGTTATAGCAGAAACAGCCAATAGAAAAAAGAAAAAACAAACGAACAGATTTCATCCAGTGGGAAGACACTGCAAGAATTATCAGGAAATGTCAGCTGCTTCCAAGGTTGAATTCTCCAGTTCAGAGTAAGAGACATGCATGCCAATTAGCTCTTCACTAAGAAGCTCCATGTTCCTGCATCCACCTGACAGGTCCCCATTTTTGCAGGAGTGTGGGAGATGCCCATTTATCTCCATATCTAGTGAATTCCCATTGGGGTGCCATTCCAAACCTGCCTTGCATTTACTCAAGTCCTGCTTGTCAGTATCTTTGTGGATAGCACCCAACTCCCCATTGTTGTATATGTTCAGAGCATACTCACTGATCCTAATGCTGGTATTCTCTCCATCCCCACCATAAGTGGAAGTCCTAGTACTGGCAGTACCAGTCTTGAACTGCTTCCTGCCTATAATATGTTGCCTGAGAATTTTACGAAAGGTGAACCGGAATTCCCTGATCCGGTAGGCATAGATCAATGGGTTCACCACGGAGTTGGCATGAGACAGAATAATGGCCAGGTACATCAGCCAGAGAGGAGGACGCACACAACTTGGGCAAAAGAGGGTGAAACAATTTATAATGTGGAGTGGAAGCCAACAGACGGCAAACAACCCAACAATGATGGCCAAGGACTTGGCCGCATGGACTTCCTTCTGCAAAGTAGAGCGTGAGCGTTCCCCATGTACCATCTTGTTCTCCATTTGCTTGAGCTGCCGTCTGGCTGCCAGGAAGATTTTTAAGTAGATGCCAAACATAAGGAGGAGGGGCACCAGCACACAGGCAAAGAAATTGTAGTAGACCATATACTCCATGGTGACCACAGTTTCAAAGAGACAAGCAATCATGTTTTCACTGCAGTTGTTGGACAAGGAGTTATTGGTATACTGAGCTTCCCTTTGGGAACATTTGTTCCAGCCCAGCATGGGCGTCAGGCCGATTATGAAGGATAAGACCCAACAGATGGCAATTATACCTTTGGCTCGCGAGCTGGTCACCAAACCATTGTACCTGGAAGACAGAGGAGAGGAGAATTACAACAGTGTAACTGGTACAAGCACCTGATGCTAAGAGGCTTCCCAAGGGCTCATCTCCTTGGAACGACCGGGGGATGTAAAGCCTTTCGTGAAATACGCCAGCTCGCTGCAATGTGCTGATCAGAAGCATCACTGATGTTGAAACTGAACAAGGGGCTCTTCTAGCCTATTCCATCCATTTTTGGGTATTCAGCAGCCCAGGTCGGTTCTAAACAAATAAAGCCAATTGGCATTTACCTTCTCTGCCCTACAAACACTCACTAGTGGTTATGAGCCTGCTTATCAAAGGATAGAGGAAACGGTAGTCCTGCTCTGCCTCTCAGGAACTGAAACACCCGAAGCTGCAGCTCTAATTTTATCTGTGCACACTACCAAACACAGAAATAGCTACTCGCTGGCCGTGCAGCACAGTGTTGCTTGCTCCCTATCTGAGTGCAGGTAGGGTCCCAGGAGGACAGTCCAAATATCACAAAGCTAGTAGCCCACTTTTGTAGAGCTGAGCTGAGAGTCTCGGAGAAAGGGTGCCATTAGTTCAGTATCCAGGCCCAAGGTAGTAGAACTCTGATGGCAGTCACAGGGAATTCAGTATTGCCAACCCAACGCTGATCCACAGAATCCATAACCAACCTCTACCCGCTGACAGCTGCATCTTTCACAAAATAACCAAATCAGCATGCTGGCTGCCTTAGCTGAAGAAAGATTAAGGATTCTGATGAACAGGACATACTATGGTCTGCCAGAGTTCTATGGTCCATGTACCCCTCTGGCCAGTGCTTCCATCAATAAATCCACCCCACTGTCTTGGGAGAGAAAACAGAAGCATGGTATGAACCTGGCCCACCACCAAAAGACAGTTGTTTGTTTCAAGTATTAGCTGATCTGTGGGGCTGCAGTCAGTCCTCAGCTGAATGTGCTAGCGTTGTGCTTTGAAAACATAAGTCATAGTAATGCGTCACATCTGAGTACAATTTCTTTTCCCCTCGTAGCACTTCACATACAAGGGGAATGGCAGAGTTCCCACATTGTCCAGTGCTGGGTCCCACACTATTTGACCCTGTGCGTGCATGATCTGACTATGGGCTGCTCCCATTTCCTCCAGTAGCTGCACTCCTCTTTTCCCCATGTCGGATTCTTTTAACAAACAAAGTTTAAAAAAATCTAAGAACAATCACTCTCTCTCACTGAATCTGTTCTTCCCACACATGCTCTGCTCCTAAAGCGAACTAAAGCCCCGCAGGGAAGGGGCCCAAGATGCTGCCTGTGTCTCTCAGCTAGAACACAGAACTGGGAACTGGGTTCTTGGTGCTTGGAAAATACAGTCAGGCATGAGCCAGGAGTGCACACTGATCATTCATTCATTCCTTAATTGCATTGCAAAAGCATAAAAGGTGGGGGACTGAGCAAAAAACAGAAGCATGACACAACTCTCCTCTCGACAAGCTGGCGAGAGGACTCAGTCCAGATCTAGAAGACAGAGGTGAGGTACTGTATTATTTGGAACCAACTTCTGTAGGTGAAAGAGACAAGCTCTTGAGCTTACACTGAGCTCTCGTCACTTTCACCAACAGAAGTTGGTCCAAGAAAAGATTTCATCTCCAGGGTGGCTACAACAACTCCACAAACAACAAGGGAAGAAATCCTTTTATTCATCATGCTCCATCGTCAACTATAATAACACGCCAACCATCAAATCTCGCTTCCCACGCTGATTTGCTCCCAGACAACTTAGATGTGCAAGTTTCTTAGGACTGCGGAGGCTCACTTGGAAGTTCTCTCAGGTGTCCCTTCTAGTTAAGGCTGAATTTGAAGCAATGAGCTCATATTGGAATGAAGCTCATTTTCCAACAGCACAGATTGAAATTAATTGGATTCAGAGAGCCTGCTTGAAACCTGAGATGCTGAAAAGTTTTCTTAAATGCCCGCTTTAGTTGCCCTATTGCTAATCTTGGAGCTCAGATGTGGAACAGTAGCTTACACTTGATAATGTAACCCTCTCCAAATAAAGCAGCTGCAGAAATGGCTGGTTTTTCTGCTTTAAATCCCATGTTTTGCACATGGGCAGTCAGATGTGCTCTTAGACACCCCTCAGTTTATGGCCTTTTTTCTGTCCGTTTTTTGTAAAGCCTTCCCTTCCAAGGTAACCTATTTTGAGGCAGATTTGTTTTCTACACCCTTGCTTCTGCTGGTGTAGAATTAAACATGGCCCTACCAGGAAGGAGCATGGTTTATTTCCTCATGTGCACGCTAACATGTTAGTTACCTGCTGCTTGAGAAGCACCAGAAGAGCTCCCTGTCACAAGACTTTGGGCAGTCTGGAAGTGTCACTTCCTACCAGACTCGCTACTTATTACCCACGAATCGTCCCCCTGAAATCAATGGGGTGACTCCTCGCCGTGACTGTTGCTAGGATCAGTCTCTTCTGATAACTTCTTAAGGCCAGAATCTGACTTTTTACACGCTCAGACCCTATGCCATCTTGGCTGCTATTTTCAGGCCTGCCAAGCGAGATGAACAAAGGAGGCAACTGCCTGAGGGCCCAGGGGTTTAAAGGGGCCCAGGTCTCCCAGCTACTGTAGCAAAGGCAGCAGCTGGGACCAGGCCCTTTACATTGCTGTTCGGAGTCCTGAGTGGCATGCTCCAGGATGTGCTAAGTGATGTCTGGGGGGTGGGGCACAGCGTGGTTTGGGCATCCCTGCCCCTTCCTGGGGCACAGAGTGCCCCCCCCACCTTACACTGTCGCCCCAGCTACATTAATGGCTTTACTTCTGTTTCTTTAAAAATTCGTGTTTGGTTCCCATCTCTAAGGCCCCTGACTGGGCTACAGCAGTAAATCCACACTGTGTAACCCTTCAAACACTACAGAGCCACGGTCACCTTCTTAGGTTACAGGTGTGGTGAGGTTTGTCACCATGGTCTGACCCTTCCAGAGCTGGGCTGAGCTTGTTTGTAGATAAAGCAGACTTGTCAAGGGGGGGGGGGGCAATAACATTACTTCTCGTGGCATGGTGAGGCTCACCTCACGCCTCCTGGAGATCCCTGAATTAGTTCTATGCTGATTAATTCTACTGCCAGATCAGTACTGCAGGGAAGTACAGCTAGGAGACTGCTTGGGTTAAAAGCTATTTCATAAGCCTGTTGCATGGAAATCCCCAGAGGGTAAGAGCGCAGGGAGGCAGGAGGTCGCTGGAGCTGCAATAAATGTATTTTTAGTGTCAGGGAAGGGACCTCTCCAGCCGTGGGATAACAGCTGTACAATTTCAAAATTCTTCCTGAGAAAGATGCAGCCAATTCGTGGGTGGAGGATGGGAACTTTGGGTACCATCTGCCAATTTCTTGCTCCCCCTTTGTGATTTTAAGTATGCATTTTGTGGCACAGATATAACTCCTCTCGTGGCAGTTAAATCTGAAGTTAAGATTAACTCCTCTTCTTTCTTCCTGAGATTTTCTGAGGATTCACACAATTGTCACCAGTTTCTAGAGAAAATGACAAGAGGGACAACGTGCTGGAAAAATGGAAATTTGACACACAGATAGCAAGTTCGATGGGCCCATGGTGCCCAAGCACAAGCAATATTCCCAGCCTAGGGCTTGACTCTACCATTGTCCAGGACCAGATGCACCCACCACACCACTCCCTGCAGCCCCAAAGGAATGTGATTCTCCATTGTGGCCAATGGGAGCTGCAGGGGGGAGGGTTGTGCCTGTGGGCAGCAGTGCGTGGGGAGATACCCCTCACCTTGGCACCAGAAAGGGGTGCTCCAGGTAAGCACCCTCCCACACCCTCCAGAGCCTGCAGCCCCCAATCCCTGCCCCAGCCAGAGCCTGCACCCCAAATTCTCTCCCACACCCACATTCCCTTCCAGAGCCTGACCCCTGCACCCTTTCCTGCACCCAAACGTCTTTCCAGGGCCTGCACCTCCTCTTGCACCCAGCATCCAAACTCCCTCCCAGAGCCTTAGGCAGGGGGAAAGGAGGGAGTTTGGGTGGCGGAGGAGTGAGGGTTCTATGCATTTAGAGTGCTATCAAAATTACTAGAAGTCTTGTGGCACCTTATGGACTAACAGATTTATCGGAACATGAGGGCAAAGACCCACTTCGTCAGATGCACGTCAGATTAGGTGGGTCTTTGCCCACGAAAGCTCATGCTCCAATACATCGGTTAGTCTATAAGGTGCCACAGTCTATAAAGTGCCACAGGACTCCTTGTTGTTTATGCAGATTCAGAGTCCCACGGTGACCCCTCTGAGACTTGTCAAAATTACTGCAAATGGCATTAGTCTGCCTGGCCCAGGAACACAGGCAACCCAGCCACAGCCAGAGATAGCTGCAGAGCTCCAGGCTGAGGCCAGAAGCAGAGCTCCCACTGGTGGCAGGACCCCAAGCAGCAGTGGCCTGGATGTAGGGGAGAGTGGGACTATCGGAGCATGTGGGCTCCTGGGGATGGCGAGGCCAGTGGGATACCAGAGGGGTCACCCAGTGGCCGAGACCAAGGGCTGGCAGGGCAGGTGGAGGTTCTGGGGTGGGGCTGGCTTCTGGAGACAGGAAAGCCGGGTGCAAAATATTGGGGTGCTGCAGCACCCCCAGCACCACTGCTTCCCACACATAGGCTCTGAGCCACACATGCTCTTGGCCAAAAACTTTACTCTGGAATTTAGAAGAACACCACTTTTGTTGCACCGAGGGCCTCGTCTGAACAGTACATCTGGCATATTAGGGACATGAACTACTACTTATCCCAAACCATTCAACAGCTAGTGCTTCTCCCTACCTCAGCCGTGTCCTAATGCCACTTCCGGGCTGCGGAACTCATATTCATGCATGACAAACTTTGTAGCATAGTCCGAAATCCCTTGAAGAATTAGCTAATCATTTTGACAATTTTTTCTAAAATTTTTGCCTTTTTGCACCATTTTCTATCCACTTTTTTTTAATAAAGTTTAGAAATTGTGGGATATTTTTAAGTATAACTGGCTT